TGGGCGGGCCAGCCACAGCTCCAGTAAGGAGCCTGAGCCTGCTGTTAGAGAGATTGCATACTGGCACCAGACCATTGGCCAACAGGTCCAGACAGGACTTGAGGGACTCTACCCACATTGGAAAAATAGTGGCAGGGAAGCTGGCTTAGCTGAAGACTCACCAGTATCCACAGAGGTAGTACCATCCCCTAGGATGCTTTTGTGCGTCTGGCCCCAGGCAAAGCCACCCAGGAAGCTGTGAGTAGAGCCAGGAGGGAACCAGGCACAGAACTCTTGTCGCCATCCTCAGCCATGTGGCCAGGTCACCTCCTCTGGGCCCCTGGACTCTGCAGTCCCCTCGGGGTCTCCATGGCTGGCCCAGAGGATGGTCACAGCTGTGTCTGGGCCCTGGTGCTGGAAGTTCAGGCTGGGGGAGAATGTGAGCTCTCAAGGGACCTCATCCTTGTGCCAAAGTCCTGGGAGCTGGGGGGGGCCAAAGGTATCATGTCCATGTAGGGGTGCTGCAACATCAGAGGGCAACAAAGCAACTGAGCTGCGTCCCGCCCCCCCTTCCCTCCCAGGGCAGAACTGGCTGGCTGGATCCTCGTTCAGCTCTTGGCAAAAGGGGAAGCTGAGGCATGGAGCAGTGCGTGCACAGCTCTGCCCCTGCTCTGTGGCCTTGCCAAGCTGCACCAAAGCTTTGCCATGGTCTCTGGCAACCCGGTAAGCAACAAGCCCTGGAGTCACCATCCTGCCCCATGGCACACAGCTCTGACCACACTGCATCACTCATGCTTGGTTGCCTGAGGGACTGGCTGGCTCCACTGCCCTGTGGCTGGCCCAGGTCATGTGGGGCACCTTTCAGATTTTGCTGTCTTCCCAGCTGGGAAGGCTCCTGGCCGCAGCCCACCACAGGGACTGTATTTCTCACCCGCTTGCTTGGTCCTGGCAGTCCCTCAGGAGCAGGCTCCATCCCTCGCAAGCTTGGTTTCTCCAACAAGCATGGCCTTATGTGGGGTGTCCAGGCATTGGGGCTGGCATGGATACAGCCCCTTTTTCAGCCTAGGCAGATCCTGGAGGAGCATGTAGATGGGCAGAGCCAAGAAATCATCTGTTCCAGAGCCATGCTGAGCAGACCCAGTGCATGTCCTATGCCCTGCTTCTACCTGACCACATGAGGCCTGAGCAGGCAGGGAGGGCCCAGCTTGCTGGGCTCATCGAGGGTACTTCACCCCCAGGCACAGAGGGATGAGCAGCCCAACCTGTGATGTCTTGCACCAAAACCCCCATGCAAGTTGTTCCAGTACTGCACCCTGCCCCTTTCCCAGAGCTCCAGGCAGTCTGGCACATCCTTTGGGGCTGGAGAAAGATTTCTGTGGAGTGCTTGGGAGGAATGTGGGCATGAAGGGCATCAGCAGGCACCACAGATGGCTCTCAGCGCGAAATTACCGGATGGAGCAAAGGCAGGGAGGTTTCTTGCACTGTGGGACTACCGAATGTCAGAGTTCCCCAGGGCTGACCTCCTCTTCTACCTCCACATCCCGAGTAAGTGGAAGGTGAGGATGTTTGTGTGTGACTGCACAGTGGGGCCACCAGCCTGGAGGGTACCCTGGAAGTCCTGCACATACTCCTTGGGCCTGCAGAAGCCATCAGATTAGGCAGGCCATGCTGGCTGGATGTGTTGGACCCAGTACACACATACACACGCGTGGCTGGGATTTCCAAAGCCCCGTCCAACACCACAGGATGTCCAAGGGCCGACTGCACATTGCGCCCAAGATTTAGGATAATGCAACTTAACTCCAGAGGAAAAGGCTTTATATGATATTATTCAAAGCAGATTAAAAAAACCCGACCCACAGATTAATACATGAGATATACATAACACAGAAAATGGGAAGTATGTCACAGGACTGTGGTTTGAGTCAGCTGTTTCCAGAAAACATGATGCACAGGAGGTTTTGGTGGGCAGTTCCTGCAGGAGGTTGGGGATTGCTGCCATGGGCGGCACTTGCTGCAAGAGGAAGGGGCTTGGGGAAGGGGGACTGACCCCCAGGGTGGCGGCGCGGGGCTGGGCAGCACCGCTGCTTTAGAAGCAGTCGCTTCGCAGAGGCTGCGGCAGGTCTGACTCACTTATCTGGAGGTTGAGCTCTGTTGAGTGGAGGGTCGTGGACGGGTTGTGCGGCTGATTCCCCTCGTACACGGTGTACTCCTCGTGACACTGCTGCCGGAGGTGCCAGAGGATGTCTCTGGACAAGGAGTGGGTTTCTGCTTCACCTGATTCTGGAACAGAAGAAAGACAAAACCCACCTTCACTGGTCTGGCCCGAGGCAGGGGTCTGGGCAGGGGGCAGAGCAGAGTCTCTGGGAGATGCCTCAAAGTATACGGAATTTCCTGAGAAGTCAAAATACAGTTCTTCCCCCTTTCAGCATGCCAGAAGAAAGAAAATAAACCACAAAGTGCAGGAAGGAGAGTAAAATACAGGTGGTATGTGCTGGTTTCCTAGTAGTGCTTGTTGTGATGGGAACTATATCACTTGATAGAAATGCTTCTCCCCATCAGGGGAAGCTCTGAATTTCCTCTGAAAAACAATGAGATTCATTTCAGCAAGAAGCAGCAAGCTGTTTTCAAGCCCTGCTGCTCTGGCAGGGGTGAGGAGAAGGGAAATTAAAAGGAAGAAGGGATCACCTCCCTCCTTCTTGTCCCCTATCAGGA